CGGTAACCTAATCTTTCACAGAGATTGACGAATTCCTTTAGCTTGTCACACTAGCCCTGAGTCCTTAGGGCATGCCCAAGAGTATACCTACGAGTCTCTGAAAAGAGAAGATGGCTAAACAATCACACAAGGGGGTGAATTATGTGTTATTTGAAATTCAAGAAACAATTTAAAAAAAAAATCAAGTTTTTAACATACAACTTAAACCAAAACAAAATTTATAGATCATAAATTTTTTCCCAATACAAAATAGAATTAAAACAATTCTTATAACATCAATTCCAAGAGAATATGCAGCGGATCGAATTTGAAAAGGAAAATAGAGTAATTTCAATGTTTATGCTCACTTTTTTCAAGAATTCATGCAAGAATGAATTAAAACATAAAAGTAATGATCATAATCTTTAAAACAGATTCAATATGACATATTTCAAGAATCAAAACAAAATTCAATTGATAGAAATCAAAAAGATAGGGTAAGGAAGAATCACACTGGGATTATCATGTTCACTCTCTAAAACACTTGAGAGATACGTCCAGACTGAGGTTCATCATTTTCACTATCATCAAGCTTCAAACAGGTGCTTGAAGAAACCTTTTTACAACTGGAATTTTACAAGTCTATGATCACACCTTGAACACACTTAACCTAAGCCTTTAGGGTCACTCCAATTGTCTTTCCAACAATTACAACAATTCAATGACACGACATGTCCATTACCAGAAATATGTTCTTAGTCTAGTGATGCCGATAATGGGTATTGGTGATCTCGGGTAAGACTAGAACGACTCGGCTACTTGAATGGTGATGCAAGGTATAGTCCTCGTGAGCTACATACATGGAGATGACTTAACTGACTCGTGGGAGGACCTATTGGAGAATAGCTCGCACTGAACTGACCCACAAAGAGACACTACAAGGAAATCTCACAGATAGTATCAATAGATAATGTCTCTTATTATTTGGGTGTGTCTTTCCTTAGACTTGACGTTGTCATATAGACCTGTGCTCTGGAAGGCTTGCTTTGATTATATACCTTGTCTGCCAGAAACATGGAAACTCGTAGGTATACTCTTGGGCATGCCCTAAGGACTCATGGCAAGTGTGACAAGCTAAAGGAATTCGTCAATCTCTGTGAGAGATTAGGTTATCCGTAGATCGGTGAAATCAGGATGACATTTACCGGACTCGAAAATCTATGCATAGTAAAGGAGTCATGAGATTACCCGCTCTTTAGAGTCCGTAAATGAAGATTCTCTGTTTCATCTAAAGCTAACCCTAGACCGCAGGGATTGATACATTTTCCTTGAGCTAGGTCAATGGGACGGATAACCGAGACGAAAGGACAATTCACATGGTAACCAAATAGGTATAAGTTGTATAACAAGTTGATCATTCGATGAACTCAACTAGCTCTGGGACAATAAAGCATTGCTAGTGGTTTGTGTTGTCATTAGATGGATTGAGCCTAGTGTGTCTAAGCTCATTTATGTCAATGGCTATGTTGGGCCTGATGGGTCGCACACAAACACCTTAAATTGTCTTAAATTCTAGCATATGTGGTTTGGACCCAATAAGAGATAATGGGCCTAAGTTGTATAGCCCACGTATTAGGTCAAGAGAAGGAATGTGGCATCATGGGCCAAGTTGGACTTGATCCATGATATAACCTAATTAATTTAAATATTAAATTAATAAAATTAATTTGAATTCTAATTTCAAATTTGAATTTAAATAAAATTAATTTAAATTCTAATTTAAAATTTTGAATTTAAATAAAATTAATTTAAATTCTAATATTAAATTTTGAATTTAAATATAGTCATTAAATTAGATTGATTGACCAAAATTATGGAAACCAATCAATTAGATTGACCAAAATTAAGGAAATAATTTAATTAAATTAATTGACTGAAATTGGAGAAACCAATCAATTGGATTGATTGGATAAAATTAAGGAAATAACTCAATAATAATTTTAATAAGTTAAATATGATTTTAATAAATAATTCCATAATTGACTTTGGATAAATATAGAAAGATTATAATAATTATATTTAATCACTTTTCAGAAGAGAACTGCAAACACCAGGTATTTCACGGTATAAATGGATACCGGTAAGTAACTCAAAAAATAGTGATAAAAATAGTAATATTCGTAGAGAAATGTCTAGGTCAAGAATATCAAATTTGGGATGAAAATAATAAGCAGTGATGTTAGAACTGATATCGGCTATTTCGCAGCAGAAAATGTGTACCGACAAAGTGTCTCAAAAAATTAAAATTAAAATATGATAATTCATAGAAAAATGTCTAAGTTAATAATATTAAGTTTGGAAGAAAAATAACTAGCTGAGCTATTAGAACTAATATTGTTGATTAGTGAGTACACTTACATAAATAGCTAAAGAGCACTAAACCCTAGGTCAAATATTTGAGGATTTTTAATCAAATAAGGATTCTAAATCAAATATTTGAGGAAGATATGGAAAGATATGAATTCTTTTATATAAATAAGGGTGTAAAAACCCTTAGAAGGCATCTTTGGCTTGAGAGTTTTCAAGAAATCAGGAAATTGATAGAGTCTTGGAGATTTATGCTGGAGATCAACACTCAGAGAAATGGTGATTGAAGATTGAAGACTTTTTCTCTTCTTCTCTTTCTTCTTTTTAATGAATTCTTGTTCTTCGTTTATCTTGTTTAAGCAACTCATGTCTGGCTAATTTCCCCTTATAGTTAGGATCATGGATTCAATGTGAATCCTTTATATTTTCTAAATTTTTTTATAATTGTTTTAATTCAATTAATGTTATTTTACCTTGAATGAGTTTTCAATATCCTTTCTTAAACCTGATCAATTTTATAGGGCTTTGAGGGTTAGAGCTCAGAATAGGCATATTGGGATTTTAACTCTGACAATAGTAAAATAACAATCTGTGCATGATCTAGACATAGGCTTGTATAGATTGCAGACTTTTAAATTCATACGCTTAAGGCTTGATTCAAGAGGGATCATTAGGACACTTGGTTTCTAATTGGGTTAAAGGGTTAAACACAATAAGACATTAGTGTTTAAACAATTGATGTGAGAAAGATGAATTGTATGAACTAATGAATTAATTAATTATAATAATTAATTAAGAATTATAAAGGAGGATCAAAGGTGAAGTGTATCCTGACTGCAGTTTTCTTACATTAATTACTCATATGTTCTCTTGCGTTTTTTATTATTCTTGGATGTTCTTGATAATTACTACATTTAAATTGAATTACTTTTATTTTGCTTCAAAATCTATTGTCTCAACCAAAACGTATTTTCCAAATCAAGGGGACTAGTTATAATAATACTTGGTGCATTAATCCTCGTGGTAATGATACTCTCTCATCACTTTTATTACTTGAAACGATCGGTATACTTGCCAAAATCGCAACAAGTTTTTGGCGCCGTTGCTAGAGATTAATCACGCCAATATTATTCATAACTATCGATCTTTGAGATTGGACTTTATTTTTATTCTTACTAATCTGATTTCTCTTATTTTATGCGAGGTAAAGTAGATCGTTAAACTCTAGAGTTTGATCCAGAAATAGAAAAAACTGCAAAAAAGAACAGAAAACTTACCAAGCAAAAGAAGCAAGAGGAATCCTCGAGCTCACAACACAGAGCAAAACCTGAGATGGCTGGAAATAATCAGCCACATCAAGAAGAGGAGTTGATGGAGTCGATCATCACTCCTAGCTTTACAAGACCGAACTCGAGTATCGCAAGACCAACGGTCGCGACTAACAATTTTGAAATCAGCAAATAACATCAGCACTTGGGAAGATTTAACTGCAAAATTCTTAGCTCAGTTCTTCCCAATGACAAAATACAACCAGTTGGTGAATGAAATCACTAATTTCATTCAATCGGATGGAGAAACTCTGTGTGCAGCCTGGAAACGATTCAAAGAGCTTCTGTGAAAGTGTCCTCAGTACAAGCTGCGACCCGGAGAAAAAGTTTGAATCTTCTTCAATGGGATGACACCATCTTCAAGAATGGTTATCAACGGTGCAGCCGGAGGTTCAATCAGGCAAAAGTCACCCACTCAGACTCTGGAATTGATTAAGTCTATGGCAAGAATGGAGAATATGAGCATAGCAACTCAGCCGAAGAGAGGAGTCCTCAAATTAGAAGGTAATGATGCCATGCTAGCGGAACAGAAGCTCATCTCACAACAGATAGCTATTTTGAATAGCAAGTTCGAAAAGCTTCACCCATCTTTAGTTCAAGCAAAGTCCATCTTCTATGAATACTGTCAACGGGAGCATGAGACTAATGAGTACAACATACTCATAGGAGCAGATCTGATCCAACATAATGAGATCTGGTATGATCAGAGGACTCAGCAAAATCCTCAAAGAAATCAGAACAATGCTACGGGGAATACTTTTAACCTCAGGTGGAAGAATCAAGGAGGCCTTGATTACAAATCGAATCAATATTTGCAGCCCTCTCCAATTCCACAAACTCGACCATCTGAACTAGAGAGAGCATTACTGCAGTTGACAAAGACAACTGACACCTTCATGAATAAGACGCGGTCTCATCACAAAAATCAAGATGCATCTCTCAGAAACTTGGAAAATCGAATCGGCGAGTTGTCAAGACTTGGCTGAGAGAACTCAAGGCCAGTTTCCAAGTGACACCATAATCAATCCTCGAGAGCATTTCAAAGCAATCACCACAAGGAGTGGAATTGTGATTACACCCCAAGAAAAGCCAAAGGCGATCCAGAAAAAGAAAGATGATGAGCCAATTAAAGAATTAGAGCAAGAAAAAGAAGTGGAAACACCTGCAAAAAAAAAAAGAACCAGCTCAAAAACACAAGGGAGAGGCAAAGGAGAAAGCTTCTGAAGCTCCAAAGAAGCAATGAGATTTCTCTCGCTTTGAGAAACCTTTGTATCCCATGAAGCTAAAGCAACAAGCCCAAAAGTAACAGTATACCAGGTTTTTGATATGTTTAAAAAGTTGCAAAATAATATTCTTTTTGCTGAAGCTTTAGTTAACATTCCTAACTATGCTAAGTTTATGAAAGGTCTCTTGTCTAGAAAGCATAAATTGCAAGAATTTGAGACAGTGGCTCTCACCGAGGAGTGCAGTGCCATTATTCAGAAGAAGTTTCCACCACAGCTTCAAGATCCAGGGAGTTTCAATATCCCGATTGCGATAGGCAACATTAATGTTGGCCTGGCATTGTGCGATCTTGGAGTAAGCATCAACCTCATGCCATTATTAATGATGAAGTCCCTCAGAATTTCCGAGCTGAAGCCCACTATGTCTCTCTATAACTTGCTGATAGATCTCTGAGAAGGCCAAATGGAGTAATTGAAGACGTTCTTGTCAAAGTGGACAAGTTCATCTTCCCTGTAGACTTCGTAGTCCTAGATATGGAAGAAGAAGGATATATGCCTCTTCTCTTGAGTAGGCCCTTCCTAGCTACAGCTCAAGCCATAATTGACGTAGAGAAAGGAAAGTTAAAGCTGAGAATGGATGACGAAAAGGTCACCAGTAATGTATTTGATGTTATGAAGCATGCTAAAGATAATAACGACTACTTTCGGGTGGACATTTTAGAAGAGCTGCTTCTCGAGAAGAAAACTGATGGTCAGACACTAGATAAAGAGATGAAGTTCTTTGATGAAAACTCTCCAAAAGAGAGTTCTGAAGTTCCAGTGAAGGAGTTAGAGAAAAAGGAGTCAGACATCACTGTGGGAGCACCAAAGGTAGAGTTAAAGGAGCTTCCTTCTACTCTCAAATATGTCTTCCTAGGAGATGCAGAAACTTATCCAGTCATCATCAACAAGGAGTTATCTAATTCTGAAGAAACAAAGTTGATGAAAGTACTCAAGGATCACAAAACAGCAATAGGGTGGTTCATCTCTGATTTAAAGGAAATTGATCCCTCCTTTTGTACTCACAAGATCCTTATGGAAGACAATATCAAACCTGTGAGGCAGCCTTAGAGATGACTTAACCCTACGATGAAGGAAGTGGGTAGGAAGGAAGTAGTGAAGCTCCATGATGTAGGCATAATTTACCCAATCTCAGATATTGCATGGGTAAGTCCAGTTCAAACAGTGCCAAAGAAAGGTGGGCTTACAGTGATAAAGAATGAGAGCAATGAGCTGATTCCCACCAGGACCATAATTGGATGGAGGATGTGAGTGGATTACAGAAGATTAAATGATGTCATACGAAAAGATCACTTTCCCATTCCTTTCATTAATCAAATGCTAGAGAGATTGTCCAGACATGCTTATTACTGCTTCTTGGATGAATACTCTGGATACAATCAAATTACGGTGGCACCAGAAGATCAAGAGAAGACATTATTCACATGCCCATTTGGAGTCTTCGCATACAGAAGAATGTCATTTTGCCTCTGCAATGCACCAGCTGCTTTTCAAAGGTGCATGATTTTCATCTTTTCTGACATGATTCAAAAATGCTTAGAGGTATTCATGGATGACTTTTCTGTATTTGCTTCTTGTTTGATTCATGTTTAGTTAATTTATCTAATGTTTTGAAATGTTGTCAAGAAATAAATTTAGCTTTAAACTGGGAAAAATGTCATTTCATGGTGAATGATGGAATAGTGTTGGGCCATAAAATTTCTGAAAAAGGGATAGAAGTTGATAATGCCAAATTGTTGTTAATTGAAAGACTCCTCCCCTCCCATTCATGTTAATGGTATTAAGAGTTTCTTAGGACATGCAGGTTTCCATCAAACATTCATCAAATACTTTTCCAAGATTGCAAAGCCCTTGAGTCAACTCTTGGTGAAAGACACTGCTTTGTCTTTGATGAAGCTTGTTTGACGTCCTTTAATATTTTGAAGGAAAAGCTAATAACTGCACCTGTTTCGATGGCACCGTATTGGAGTCTTCCATTTGAGCTCATGTGCGATGCGAGTGCATACGCAATAAGATCCGTTCTTGGTCAGCGTAAGGTTAAATTATTGCATGTTATTTACTATGCTAGCAAGGTTTTAAATGAGGCACAAGTTAATTATGCCACAACGGAGAAAGATATGCTAGCAGTAGTTTATGCATTAGATAAGTTTAGGCCTTATTTGATTGGTTCTAAAATTATTGTTTTTACTGATCATGCTGCTTTGAAGTATTTAATGAATAAGCAGGATGAAAAGCCACGCTTGCTGCGTTGGATGCTATTATTTCAGGAGTTCGACTTAGAAATTCAAAACAAGAAAGGAGTGGAAAATAAGGTGGCTGACCACTTGACAAGGTTTCAAGACCAGGAACTGCAAGACGGACCTGAAATTGAGATCAAGGAGTCTTTCCTTGACGAACAAGTGATGGCAGTTCTCATTGGACCATAATTTGCAAAATTTGCAAACTACAAAGCTGTTGGAGCACTTCTAGAGGACCTCATATGGCAACAAAAGAAGAAGTTCCTTCATGATTCAAGGAGGTACCACTGGGATAATCCATTTTTATATTCCAATGTGCTGACGGAATTATTCGCAGGTGTGTAGCTGAGTTTGAAATTCCAAAGATCTTATGGCACTGCCATGTATCAGACTATAGAGCACACTTTGACGAAAATAGAATTGCGCAGAAAGTCTTACAAAGTCGGTTTTATTGGCCCACTATATTTAAGGATGAGTGAGAGTTCGTAGAAAAGTGTGACAGATGCCAGAGGATGGGAAACATTTTCCGAAAGGGCGAGATGCCTCTGAATTGCATACTAGAGGTAAAGGTATTCGATGTATGGGGAATTGACTTCCTGGGACCATTCCCGATGTCATATTCCAACCAATACATCCTAGTTGTTGTGGATTGCATTTCTAAGTGGGTAGAAGCAGTGGCTCTACCTACAAACGATGCTAAGGTGGTTATGTATTTCCTGCGGAAGAACATCTTCACTAGATTTGGAGTTCCAAGAGCTATCATCAGTGACAGAGGAACCCACTTTTGCAACAAGCAGTTTGACAGCCTTCTCTCAAAGTATGGAGTTACACACAAGGTGGCCACACCATATTATCCTCAGACAAGCGGGCAAGTGAGATCTCCAACAGAGAGCTAAAGAGAACCCTGCAGAAGACTGTGGGAAACTCCATAAAAGATTGGGTAAGGAAGCTTGATGATGCACTCCGGGCATACAGAACAGCTTTCAAGACTCCCATAGAGTCCCCCATCATCCAGCATGCAGGGACAGCTCGACAGATTGAGCATCTAGGGTGATTATTGGACACACATGCTGGAGAATCTTTGCTGAGCAGGAGGAGTTGATACCTCTTGTTATTGACCACACTTCACACCAGTACCAGCTCTAGAGGACCCCATTGAGCCTACAGTCCCTACTGAGTCAGCAGTTGAGCACATAGAGACTGAAAGAAAATGGCCTTGAAGGCCGTAGGCATGTGAGGATGAAAATAAAATTTTTCAAGAGCGGAAACACACATGCAAATTAAGATACGTACTTTAGGATGTAATGATACCTTTGTTCATGATTCAAAACTCCAAAGTGATTAGTGTAAGGTTTGAAGGTTCAAACCCTCTAATGTTGATCCACACCACCCTACGTCAAGATGCAAGAACACTTCTTAAAAGCCACCAATCGAACACCACAAGGAAGGCTAGCTAGGCGTCCAATAGGAGAGAAAGAGGCTTAGGTTTCAAGGTGTTTAGCTGAGTGAATTTTCAACATGAAGACTCACAAAGTGGCGCATGAAGTTCTATGAGAAGAGGCTAGGTAATTTTTGAAAAATCCTTAGAGAACCTAACAAAAGGATGCACTTTTGGAGATAAGAGAATGATTGAATTGAATCAGATTTTTCTCCCAAAATTCTAACCTATGTAGCGCCCAATGGTGGAAGAATAAGTGGACTTGTTCCAATTCAAATCTAGCCAACAACCTCCTATCATATTCTCATGAGACTAAGTCTATACCTAGTCAAAAATCTGACTTAATAACCATCATATGGCCAGCCATTTGGTGTGCTTTTATTCAGCCCAAAAACAGTCCAAATACATTGAGTAGTTGCAATTCAAATTGAACCAACTCACTCACTTATTCTCTCAACAAACCAAATCTGATTGGAGCTTATTTGGTTGACCATATGACCATCGAAGGATTACCAAATCAGCGCCCCAATCTTGCTAGAAGATGTCCAAAGATCTTCTCTTGATACTTGGGATTAGATCCATCAAGATCTCATCTTATCCTTTTGTTATGAAACAACCTTTCACAGCCAATTCAAATTCAAATTCAAACATTTAAATTCAAAATTCAAATTCTAAATTTAAATTCTAAATTTAAATATTCGATAATTAATTTAACTAATTAAATTAATTAATAATGTCTTGGACCATCCCAGCCCATTACTACTACCATGCGCCCTTTCCTTCTTAGGTGGGCTTCCAAACTTTTTCTTGGGCTAACAACCTTTATTAGGCTCAATACCTTTAATGTTATATCATCAAGACAATAAGGTGTTAGTGTGTGACCCATTTGGCTTAACATAGCCATTGACATAAATGGGCTTGGGCCCAACAAGCCCACAACTCATTTAATGACAACACAGAGCACTAGCAATGCTTTGTTGCCCCAGAGCTAGTTAGGTTAATGACATGATCATTGTAACACCCCGTGTATACCCGGAATATTAACATTACATCATATTAAGCGGTGCATAAATAAAAATGCGGAATATTCTTTTTCTTTTCAATTATGACGTCATTATCACTTACCAACTTGATTACTTAATCAATTTCATAAAATAACGCCTGTATGTAAATTGCAATAAGACATCTATTGAAATACCTTAATATATAAATAAAGTGTGTATCTAAATCACGGCATTACATCAAGTAATCCGGACAATATCCTGATACATTATTACAACTCCAAAAGACTCAAGACATAATCAAGACATAACAATACTATGTGTCATGGACAATCCCCATGCTCACCAAATAAACATAGTAAACAACAAGTCTCAACATAAAACTCCAAAAACATAACTGAAGCTATAAGCATGTAAGCAGCATGCAAATCCAGCATCCAATCATGGTAGCATAATATAACAGCAATCTAACTCAGCTCCGGCCTCCTGCCGCCTGAGGTCTCAACATTACCTGACCCTAAAATAAGCATTCCCCAAACGTGGGGTGAGATCTCTAAACTAGAAATCTCAGTAAGACAAGGGGTCCTCAAGGATCTTCCACCCCAAGCTCACTTACATGTGCAATATAAGTTCAAAAAGCATTTATATCATTATCAGTTCCAAAACTATGTAGTGCAACAGATATTTATGGCATGTGTGTAATCACTATCTACTGGCCAGAGAAATGTAGGAATACGTCTATTCCCTACATGTAGTACAAGGAACACCGCTTGCACCTCACCCACAGTCTCACCCTCTTGTATGTTCTACATACTCAGGCTTACCGTATAGGTGGAACACCTCCATGCATATCGACAAGGCACTAACATACAATAGCTCAACAGCATTTCCAGAACATCAAAAGCATGTAACACAGCATGCATATACCATATCCTCATGGGACATGGTGGAACCACAACATGGCTAAACCGAGGGCACGAAAGCTTACCTCTAAGCTAGCTATCCAATGCCACAAGCTCAAAGTCCAATCACAGCATATCACAATCTGATATGGACCAAATATAAATCAATAAACATGTACCACATGCATACAAATTAAAGACAACTCCTTTTCATTACGTTTTAATGTCCTAAAGCTTGTAACAAAGCCACAAGCCCTAATCCCATGATTCTGGCTTAGTCCATTAAATACAGAAGTTCAACTTCATCAAACTAGGGTCCACACACCCCCAATAGCCTACTGTACACACAACACAGCTATTGTTCTGCGAAATCCCAGAATATCCGGATATTCCTCGGGACCATATCCGGATATGCAATATCCAGATATCTCACTGTCCATATCCGGATATGCAATATCCGGATATACAGATT